ATGATGCTCATGAAGCGCAGCGTTAGAGTGACAGAGATACGAGAGTAAGATAAAATGAGAGGGACAGCACTCGGGTGAGGTTCTCGAACCTAGGTTAGGATAGTTCTCGAACGCATGAACTGCCTCAGCTTCGAAGTGGTGCAGTCCATGCGCTCTCATGCGTTCGAGAACTAACCTAACCTAAGTTCGATGGGTGTATATCAGTTGGACACGGGGCAATTGGACACAGTCCAATCACAAGTCGCTGTTCCAAGGAACCCTACAAATGTCTCTAATCACACGGTGCTGTGATTGGCTGTGTCCAAATTCACCGCTCCCAAGTTCAACAACCTCACCCGAGTGCTCTCCCTCTCTTTTTATCTCACTCTCGTATCTCTGTCACTCTATAATGAATTTGCACATTTCAACAATGTATTGTTATCTTGAGTGAGTCCCAGATGCGCACATTGGCTGCGTTCCGAAATAATGCTGATAGTACTGACAGTATTGATACTGAAACCAACCATATTTGTCGTTCCAAAATTGTTAGGCAGTAACAACCGCGTAGAAAAACAGAACACGTTTTCAGTATCGTGCAGTAGCTCGCAGAGACAACCTAAGTTAATCTATAATCTGTAAATATATAAAAGGCAAAGAACGTTAATATAATTATGAATAAGATAACATCAATTGTACTTGGCGCACAAAATATAGTGCATTTTTTTAAAAAAATCGAAAGTTCATCTTCAGGCGATGAAGAAAATATTGCAAATATTTTAAAAATAATAACAGAACGAGGACCGGTAATATTAAGACCACGTGTAAAAAATTATATAGAAAATACTGTCGCTTTCCTTTTAGATGAAAGATTTAAAGAACACTTTAGGCAAGATAATTATGAATAAAGTAACTATTCAGACAGTACAAGACGTCCTCAGGATCATCCTGAATATGTCCCGGGAGGTCCTGGGATGTTTGAAGGACAATAATATACGAGGGTAGTCCCAGAAGTACCCGACTTGACGTATAGATGGCGGTTGTTGTTTGAAAAAAATCACTATGGCCGAAAGCATCAACCTTATAAAGCTGAAGTTTGAAGTTTCAAGACGCTACGTTGTTTAGTATTAGTTTGGCAACCATCAATAGTGAACGCTCGCAGTACATTTGTAAACATGAAGAAAATTGGTCATCGTTATGTGATACAATATTTTCATTTGAAAGGTCTCAGTCCAACCAATATCAAAACTGAGCTAGATTCTACTCTGGGGGAGTCTGCTCCCTTGTTTACAACAATGTTTTTATATTCATTACCATATTTTTTTTGTTCTGTCGAAGATGAAACATTTTATTTTTGTTACATATTATATATATATATATATATATATATATATATAATATGTAACAAAAATATGATATTTGGATGTCTCAAGTTAAATCCCTCACCCTGTATATATATATATATATATATATATATATATATATATATA